AGGCTTCCTTTTGAATTTGGCTATTAGGAAGGGAGGATGCTTGAGCCATGCAAAGGAATTACAGTAGCAGCTGTGAACATTCATGTCATGCATGACACTTGTCATTAAAGTATTTCGAAGCTTGTTTGAAATGCATCTATGCTCATTTGTGATTTTTCATATAATTGCCAAATCTGAGCCTGGAGTAGTATCTCAAGTGCTTGCAGTAATCCAGTAATGTGAGCTACACTCTCGTGTGTGTTGCAAAGGAAAATCTCTTTGCCACAGAGGAACAGCTCAAGGAGGATCACCTGCTGAGAAGTCTCAGAACATGTTTGGATATTTATCTGTATTTGCTCATTACTTTTATATCAATTAGGTAAAAGAAATTCCAAGTCCTTGCAATAAAGAAAACCAAAGCATCCAGTTTAAGGAGCATAGCATGCCTTGGCAATCCGGTGGCTTTCTATATAATGAGATGAATGAATTAGTATAAGAAGACATAGAACAGTGACTGTCGTTTACAGAAGCCAGACCTTACACCTGGATCCTATAGTACCATTGTAATCCAAACAGATATGAACTGGATGTGTGGGCAATATAGGAATTTACCTGGACTTCCAGGATCAAAGATTTGCAATGAGCAGTAAAAAGATCCAGCTGACAGATAATCACTACAGATGCCCAGAGCACGTTCTGTAGCTGACAGTTCCAAACTGGGGTGTATAAGGGCAGGGCTGTTGCACATTGGGACTTTGATAAAATGATGAAATGTGTTGACAGGAACCCCATGAAGTTAAATGAAGTAAGGCAATATTAAATCCTGCATCTGTAATGGAATAACCCTCTGCAGGCTGGGTGTCAGCTGGATGGAAGAAAGCTTTGTGTAAGGTGTGGGGTCTTAGTGGACAAACTGAACATAATTCAGCAGCATGGTTTTGTGGGAAGGAAGGACAAGGGAATACTGAACTAGTGTTGCTAAAACTATCACGAGTGTAGCCATCAGGCCCAGAGAAATGATTCTTTCAGGACCCTATTCAGTCCTCATGAAGCCATGTCTGCAGTCCTATGTCCACTTCTGGGGTCTCCCATACATGATAAACATACACATTGTAAGAAGTCCAGTGGTCAGGGACTAGATCACATGATGCATGGGGAGAGTCTCAGAGAATTTGTTTTTCTCAGCCTTAAGACAAGATGGCTTCAGAGAGACCTTACTGCTGTTTACAGAACTTGTTGAGATTCCATCCTTGGCAATATCCAAAACTTTCCTAGACACAGGCCTGAGCAACTTGCACTGATTAACCTGCTCTCAGTAGGAGGCTCGACAGGAGGACCTCTGTAAAGGACATCTCTTCCAACTTTCATGATGCTGATTATGTGTTAAAAGAGCAAATCAACACCTCCAGGAAGCAAACTGAACAGTGAGGTTTCAGGATTTCAGTGAAGTTAAACCAAACAGCTTTACCTGGGAATCTGCAGCTAAAAAGACAAGAGTATAGCCAAAAAAGATAGACAGAAACTTTGTGAGCCAGCAACCACTGGATCTATTGTATGTTTTATTGACTGGTGCTTCACTTTCAATTTGATAGGAAACAAAATGTAAATTTGTTGGTAAGCAATAGAAAATGCTTAGGCCTACTGGGATGGCACCAGGAATGTCATTAGTCATTAGTGAACACAATCTCAAAAATAATAGGCACTTTTGGATATTCATGTTGGGATATGCAAAGCAAATTTCAGAAAACAGTAAGAAGCAAAAAAGACAAAAGGGAAGAGAAGAAGTTTATAATAAGTTCTTGTGGTAATTGTCCTATTTACCCTAGGGGGGAAAAAAAAAAGAATAACAAATGAAAAAAAAAGCATACAATCTTATTCATAGACTCCTGTAACTCTTTTCTAATGATTTTAAGAAACACTATGCAATTAAAAATATGCAATAAAGGTGTGGGGTTTTTTTATTTATTTGGTTTTTGTTTTTTCTATGTAACAGTAAGAAGGTAGGGAAATATATACAAGCATTTAAATTTTATTATAAAATGGTTATTAGTCCCTCAGCCATATTCATAACACAAGTCAAATCTGACAGCACTTTTGGAGCATCTTTTGGGAAGTACACGTTTACAGTAACATTTTAGATAGATCCGGTTGTGAAAAGATATGTAATTTTAAATGAGAATATTGCTAGTTATCTTCCAACATCCTTCCAGTTCTCTTGCACCCTTTCCTGCAATAAGAAGTATCTTCCTTCCTTCTGCATTACTTAAGTTCTAATATCAACATAACATTCACAATTTCAGCAAGACCAGCCTTCTAGCTAAAAAACTTGGAGCTTAATGTGTCAATGGATTAATTACTACCAAAAAGAAAAAATTAAAAAATGTTGAAACAATCATATTCATGTCACCTGACAACTTTGTCTTCAACTGGGCTGTTCAGCTGTCATGCAAGTTTAGAATGATCTTACACTTGGGACTGCTTTCTAGTAAATTAAAGTCCAATTGCATGAACATGTCAGAGGCTTCATAATGTTCAAAAATCATATTTTGGGAAAGTATTCTTCATCCCTACATAGAAGGTGGGTATTTTGGTACTTTCAAAAAGCTAGTTTTTGTTGTTTTTTTTTTTAAAGAGTGGACAGTAAGAGCACTGTTTCTCACTGCCAAAGTGTACAAGATAGGACTTTTAGAACATAGAGGTCTGAGCTAAAGTGAGCCCAGAAATCATGCTTCAGAGCATTTTGGGCAGACAGTAAACACTTTCAGCTCCCACTCACTTACTATTGTTAGGAGATTATATATTAAAAAGTAATTCCTGAAAGTAGAAATTAATAGAAGTTGCTATTTTTTAAAAAGTAACATCCCATTTTTGTCCTGGTACCTTCATAAGAATTAATCTTTATACACTTGCTTTGAAAATTTAGACATAAGCTGAGAAAAGAATTAATAAAATAAATGGAATAATTTATTTCTGACTATAACAAAAATATATTTTTAAGGTTATTAACAGGACAGATGTCACCTGAAAAAAAAAGTCTTGAATTAAAAAGGTAGTAAAAAGACTTCAGAAAGCGTTGCCTGTGCTTTCCTATTCATTTTATACTCCTTAACACCTTACTATACTTTAACAGAATTAATATTATTTTTAGTGCCTGTTGTTTATTTGTTTGTTCTTTAATGAAGAAACCAAATTAAACACTTCCTTCACCTTTAGTCTTGACTGTCCACTTACTTCAAGTACAGAACCATGTAATTTTCCTGTCATTTTAGAAGAGGCCATTTGTCTGATACTCCAAAAAAAAAGAACAATTACTACTCTGTGTGAAGACAAGAATTAGACTGAAACTGAGATGAGAAAAATCGCTGAGACCCCATTTGCCCTAAAGCTCAAATATATCGCCTCTCATAAAACAGGTTTCCCAACCTAAGGATCAAAGATCCATAGCCTTGATCTCCCACATTGCCACTGAAATGGCTAATAGCTACATTTTAATGCAAATTCATTTTCTTACAACCCCCCTTTAAGTGTTATTCAGTTTTCTTATCTGTGGCCATATGCTTAAAAAGTAATTACTCAGCTGGCATTTTTAATTAAAATGATGTTATCTGTGGTTCTAGATGCATTAAGTACAGGACTGATCTCAGATGCCAAATGAAATTTCTATAGATGAGTCATGCCATGCATTTTCCTGTTTCACAAGTTGCATTGTAACTGGTAAAAACTTATAAAACACAGATGGAACAGGTATCCATGAAATTCTCTCAAATCTAACTATCAGATTTGGAATAATGTTTTTCTTGTTTTGTTTTTTGTTTTGTTTTGTTTTGTTTTGTTTTTCTTTTTTCTTTTTTTCTAATAAATAACATCTGTATTAGTCTTAACAAGATCAGTAGGTTCTAAGCTGATGTCTGAGGTTAAATTCTTCCCCTGGCTACAAGTTTCAGTCCTCTTGCCAGCTATATGCTCCTGCAGTCCATGTGCACATGGCATAAAAAGTCTGTAAGAAGAAGTCAGGATTTGAGGAAAATTTAGATTTTTACATACTTCAAACATTATTTCAGTCAGCATTTCAGCCTGAGTTCGTTGAGTCTGTCCCTTAATCATATCAAATGTGAAGCTGTCCTGGATTCTTGATTAATAATTAATTAATTACAAGCAACAAAATGTTTTTTTTTTTTTTAATGCAAGGTATTGATCTCATAATTCTCTCTTAAACTAGCTACGGCTGTTAAAATTAGCATTCATACTTATTCTACTAACGTTCTTAATTCTTTTTTTGCCACAAGCTGCTTATAACTATTGCTTAGATGCGCAGCTATAAGGAGATTAATGCTGAATATTGCATATTTCTAGAAACTGGTGTGTAATATGACTTAGGATTAGTGATGGCAAGCATCATTTTGCAACTGACCAATAATCATCTGCAAAAAGATGCAGCTACACTGTGCATTCAGTGTCACAAGAAGTAAAAAATAATGTCATAATATTAATTTACAGATTTTTTCCTAAAACCAGTGAAGAGCAATCAGTGATTTCATACTGATTATAACTGTCGGTGATGTAAATTGTGCTGTTACTCAAAGTACTATCAAACACCATCCCCAAAATCTTAAATATATTTTCTTATGACTAGGACAATGAAAAGAAAATATGTTTTCATTAATTTAAGTACTAGTGATGAAATCTTACAACCCAAAAACCGTAGATGGAGAGCTCACATTGTGTTTTTTCTATATTCAAGAAGTTTCATAAATTAAAAAAGAAAAAAAAAGTTTGATTATTGCTGTCATTTCAAATTATGCCTTCAGCTGTCTTCAGACAGGTACTGTAGTAAAAATTGAAGCTTATGTCAGTTAAAACAGCTGCCAGCATATATTACACTAACTGACAACATACTTGAGTTTTTTAATCTTTATACTCTTACACATTTGTCTTTGTTACTAATAATATATGTATTTAATCAAATTTTATGTTGAATGATACTTTTGTCAAATATCCCCCAAATGGGTCAATATCTTAAACAGAGTCTCTAGTGAATAAAGTAAATTTATTTTGGCTCTATGACCATGGAGTGCAGCAGTCTACTGTGACAATTTTCTTCCTTCCATATGATCCAAGACAGCATCCTTAGAGTAGAAGTCCATTCTGAAACTCCACTGAAATGAATGATAGTCTTCTGACTTTTTCTTCCATGTTTTGAATGAAGGCATCACCTATAGTAGGAGTATGGACAGTCACAAGTTCATGCTTTGTCATTTTGCATTTTCTGTTTTGACAATTTTTCAGTTTATTGCTCCAGCCTGAGGAGATAAATATGTGTGAACAGTGATTCTGTCCTTAGCCATGATACCTGGTTTATATGGACTCCTAGCACAACAGTTCTGAATGGACAGTAAGTACAAGCACAATTAAAACAAATGAATGAACTGTGGTGTATTGGTACAGGCTAAAGCTTGGGTTTTATTTGGTTGGCTGCTTGGTTTTGGTTTGTTATATTAACATGTGGTCGTATGCAGAACTTACATTGCTACAATGTCATATGAAGTTCAAAACAGAAAATTTACTATCAATATTTATGCTATATTTGAGGCAGTTAAATGTCTTTGGGAAAAACCATTAAATCAGGACCAGATTTGATGCAGAAGTTTTCCATCTATTTACTGTGCTTCATGTACATTAATTTAATTTCCAAATTCACATAGCTGCATTTAAGTATTACCTGTTAAAGTATCTCCAATTATATAGATTCCTATATGTAGCCAGTTGTTTCATTTAGTTGCATTTTATTAATTTGGATTAACACCACACACAGAATTGGAATTCTGTATCTTAATACAACATCACATAATTGAAATTCTTGAGACCCACCAAGAAAAAAAAAGCTGTATAATTTTTATAATAGTAACACAGGTATGTTGAAAGACAAGATGCCCCACAAACGATCCTTTAAAGTAGCAGTGAAATTTTCATCACAGTTATGAATTAGCAATTACTTAATAGCAGGTATAATAAGTCATCAGAAGACTGCCTTCAATACATTATTTTGGGTATAAGTAACATTTTATTATTAAAAAAAGAAAATCTTAAAGAGTTAATAGTGACTTACTAACATTTATGCATATAACCTGGTATATGTTCTCTTTCTTTTATTGAGACAATAAAATGCTATATTTTATTCTGGCAAATAAAAGCAAATATTTTCAACAGTTTATAAGTTAACAAAGATCCTATATAAAGATGTATCAAGGATAAACAGCCACTGTTCCCTAAGTCAATAAATTTAGTGTTTCTTTGTTAGATGATAAGTACTTGCTTTACTAAGTTTTTTAGATCTCAACTGTAATGTGCTGGGAGAAGAGAGTACAACAAAAATCAAAATAGCCATTTACTACAGAGAATATTTTTCCTTTAAAAACTACCAGTAAGATTTTTTTAATTCCTACTCCCCACTGAGAAGCTTCAAAGAAGTAAAAGTCATTAACACTGCTCTCATGAACTATCCGCTTGCAAAGAAGCTGCCAAGAATGTAAATACTAGCAAAAGAAAACAACTATATTTGAAATGAGAGAATGGATGTTACTGCAAAGAATTTAATTTAGATTTTACTTAGACTATAACTCTTTTTGGTTCCTAAACCTGAAATGACTATGTGAATCATTTACTTGTTTTAAAATAAGATGCACTTAAAAAAAACCCAAACAAGTATTACTCTTGTACCTTCATGAGGAGACTGGATCAGAACTGTATATGGATAATGTCGTTTTGAAGACCAAAATTTGTTCTATGAAGATGTACTGCTACAGCTCTGGGATTGTACACAGTGATGTACCTCAGTTTGTGGTGGTGCGTGGTGTGGAGACTATATCAGAAGAGCAGCATTCAAACAGCTTCAGAGCACCGTGTTTTCCCCTGGCACTGCAAGAAAAATTTGTGTGTATGTGTGTGTGTCACTAAAAGAGAAAGCAAGAGTGCATGCAAGAGGATGATTGTCTCTTCTCTTCCTTCTTGACCCCTATAAACAGGAAACTAGACCAAGGTGCTTGGCTTAAATGGAAAAAGACTGCTCTATATAGCAGGGTAAAGGTTTGCATCTCATTTGCTATTGAGAAGGTGAGATCTGGGACATTCCACCTAATGAATAAAGCAAGTCTAATGTCCTCATTCTCACCTGGATGGAGAGATGCAGGTAGGACATCCAACCCCTTGAAAGCCACAGCAGCTAGGAGTAGAACAGATTAATTTAGGTTGGCAAAGACATTGAGTCCGACTGTTAAACTAACACTGCCAAGTCCAGCACTAAACTGTGATCTTAAGTGCCACTTCTACATGTCTTTTAAATACCTCCAGGGATGGAGACTTGACCACTTCCCTGGCAGCCTTGTCCAATGCTTGACAGCCCTTTTGCTGAAGAAATATTTCCTACTCCCCAGTCTAAACCCCCCTGTTGTAAGCTGAGACCGTTTCCTCTCATCCTGTCTCTTGCTGCCTTGGAACAGAGACCAACAACCACCTCACTACAACTTCCTTTCAGGTAGTTGTAGAGAGAAATACAGTCTCCCCTCAGGCTCATTTTCACCAGACTAAATGACCACAGTTCCCTAAGCCACCCCTTACAGGCCTGAATACAGGGAGATTATTACTTCCCTAGTCAAGCAGACCACACTATTTCTGATAAAAAGTGGAAAATGACACAACAACTTCCTTCTTTGGGCATCAAGCGCAGAGCTGAGCATCTTCCTATCATACTTCAATGCAAATTTTACCAAGTTTTCGATTGCATTCCTAAAATCAGGCATTCAAGTAAAATTTTCTTTTGCCTTCCTAATACCTTTATCTTAGAATCATATTAAAGCAAATTTAAAATATTCAGAATTATTTCTTTTAAGCATACAATTTCTGGTATAACCCTTTTTAAAACAGATCTCAAGGGGAATAGGGGGAAAGGGGGCAGGAGAATTTCTTTGCCTGACAGTTTTATGCTTCCCATTCTGGTTAATATTTTAGTAGCCTACGTTTACCTCAGAAAGATTTTTATTCTCTCTGTTCTCCAATGTACCAAATACATTCCAAAATACACTCCTGATTTCCTGTGGTTTAGCACATTTGAAATTCAAACTGAATGAGTTAGAACCAGTTCAGTTGAGTTCACTGAAATCACTTAAATTCTTTATTGTAGCACTTTTCAATAAGTTACTATGTGTTTTTCACAACATTCTTTTCTTTAAAAAAAAAATTACAACTGTAAATTGTCAGTAGGACATACCTGATGTTTTGAAGAATGGCAACTGATTTTTTTAATCAGCCTTTCTTTCTTAAATGTTTTGAGGGCATATGAGTGAAAACTGACAGAATGGCACTATGACTCCATAAGCAAAAGCTTAGACTTCATCTGCAGTATAGTGTTAAGATACAGCACACATAAAGCAATAAAAGATTTTTTTTTAATTCTCCGTACTTCTCAGCTCCAGCCTTATTCCATTGTCATGACTATGACTATTCTCCATTCCAGTTTATGACAACTAGTCTTTTAGGTTTCAGGGAAGGCAGAGAGCAAAATTGCTGAAATATCTAATGGAAGTTAAATAGGTCTGTGAAGGTCGAATTTTGTTTTTTAGAACCCAGGATTTCTTGTTTGAATAAAAAATAACATGTAATGAAGACTGGTATTTTTCCAATTATTTGACAGAGATATAAAATTTAGGTGGCTTCCATAGGGAAATGTCCTAGTCTCACCTTAGACAGAGTTAATTTTTTTCCTAGTAGTTTGTACAGTGCTGTGATTTGGCTTTAGTCTGAGAATAATACTGATAATACACAGATGTTTTAGTTTCTGCTAAGTACTGCTTACCCTAATCAATGTCTTTGCAGTTTCCCATGTTCTACCATGGGAATCATGAAGCAGGAGGGTGCAGAAACAGGGCAGGAAATAAATACATGTAAGAGCTCTATATGTGGTTTTTGGATTCCACTATTATAAAAGAATACATGGGAATTAGGATTATATGGTCATGGGTATTGTGGAGCCCTCCATTCAGGTTTCAATTTGCCAGCATAGTTTACTGCCATGCATCTGTTCTGTTCATGTCATGTTTCATTTCCGTTTTGATCTATTTCATGGTCTGCTTGTCTTTCTGTCTAATGCCTCACATAGTACTTGATAAGCATTAATCTTGCATTTACGTTTAGGATTTTTCTTTAATATCGAGACTAGGTTGTTAAATTGTACAATTCTGCATTAAAATTATAATTAAAATAATTAAAATAATCTCATTGTACTTAAGCATAACAGATCATATTTACCTCTTGTTCATACATGTTCTGAACAGTGTCAAGGAGTTAAAATGCTTCTGAACAGAAGCTGTGTCCACATGCAGAGGTTCTGATTTTTTTCCTTAGGTGTAAGACAACAGAGACAAATAGAAAACATCAAATGGAAAAGACATCCAGAACTTTTATCAAGGTGCCACAGAACAAAGGAGAGGAGGCTGGGCAGACCCCAGAAGCCAGGTGATTTTCCTGTGATTTCCCTATATTTTTGCATTGGTCCAATGCTATAAAACAGCAGATGAGGGAATGTGCTGTCAATCTCCTATTCTTTCTCATGCACTTGCAGCCCAGAAGGCCAGTTGCATCTTTCGCTGCATCCAAAGGAGCGTGGCCAGCAGATCAATAGAGGTGCTCTGCTGAGACCCCACCTGGAGTACTGCATCAAGCTCTGGAATCTTCAGTACAGGAAACATATGGACCTGTTGGAGAGGGTCCAGGGGAGGGCCACAAAAATGATCAGGGGGATGGAGCGCCTCTCCTGTGAGGAAAGGCTGAGAGAGTTGGGGTTGTTCAGCCTGGAGAAGACTCCAAGGAGCCTTTCAGTTCTTTTTAAAGGGGCCTATAAGAAAAATGGGGAGAGACTTTTTAGCAGGGCCTGTTGCAGTAGGATGAAGCGTAATGGTTTTAAATTAAAAGAAGGGAGATTGTTTATCTAAGGTTAGTATCCTTTCTTGCCTTAATATTGAAAGGGAAATAATCTGTCTATTGTGAATATAGTTTAGTAAGAAAAAAATTTCTTCTGCTTCCTTTGTTTATTGAGTGTGAGATAGAAAAGCAAGAGGCAAAGCTATAGCAAACAGCAAAGAAACTCTGGCTATTCCTCTTTTAAAATGGTATGATACCTGGTTTTAAATTGTTTATTTTGAACAAAGAAACACTGATTTTTTTTTGTCCTTACAACCCTAACAGGGATCTTGAATGGCTATACAGTTCAGTTTGCAAGTCAGATATTTACTTCTCTGATCTGTGAATTTTAATCCCAAAACTCTTTCTTTCTATTGAGTTTGAAACCATCAGACCAAGCCCCTGGGATTATCATGAGAAGATTTTCCATAAGCAAATCTCCCTTTTGAGGACTGCACAAAGGATGTTATATTTGCAGCCATGTTTACATGTGAAGCTAAACAATAAATAACACTTATGAGAAACAAGAAATATGCTACACAGTTGATTTCGTGGAGAAGCATAATAATTTTATATAGTGCAATGATACAAGAGATACCTCTTAGATTTATAGAAATCGGGAGAGTGGAAATTTATTATCTCCCTAATCAGCCGAAATGTCAGTACTCAAAAGTCTTGATCCTAGATTTATACTACTTCTTAAAGTGTGATATAGCCAAACCACAAAGCAGAAGTGGAACAACTGTACCTTGAGATCCACAGTAAATTTTAATGGAAAATAAAATCACAACTGAAAAAAAACCCGAAACCCTAGATTTAAGCCTTTTCAGACCATGTTATAAGAAGGAAGAAGAGGAGGGAAGGTGAAGAATAAAAGCTCTCTGGGTCATTTTTTATATTTCAAAAGCATTTCAAAAGCGTTTCTCTCACATGAGGACTTCATGGTTGTTGCTGCAAAGTAAAATCTGGATGTGATCCCACTCTCCATGTCCATAACCAACCTACTGAGACTGGGACATGTATACCAGGACTCATAATTTATTTTTTCTTCTCACATTCAATATAATTGCTATATCCAGATCCAAAATAAATTGCTTAACTGTTTCTAATTTTATCCTAGAAGTATACTTCTGCATAAAGAGTATGTAAACTGCAAAACAAGAAATATGTCTTTATGAATTCATAGCATTTTTAAACTGTCAGTGCTTCTGTTTCTCTAATGAGTAAATGCAGTATGGAATAGTTAAATGCTGGGTTTTATAAAGTAACTAATATTTCTAGCTTTATTAAAAGGTTCTATTTTACAAACCTGCCAAATGCATAAATTCCATTCTCAGAGTACAGAGTAAATCAATATAACTGTAACTATTTTCGATCACACATTAGTTTAACATAATTATTTCGTTCTGAAATTTGGGAGCACTTAGTATTAATGCAACTGAAAAGTGGCAGTCTCTCTCTTATCGTGAAAATGTAATTTAAGAAAGAAGTATTGATCTAGTTAAGTCTGAATGGTGAGAATTAATGCCTGTCTATAATCTTGCCATTTCTTTCATCTCACATTATTAGTGCTGCAAGCTAAAGCTGTTGTTACTTTGCTTTGCTCAGAGGTGGTTTAAATTGAAAGGCTTGGATCTGGATTTCAAGAAGCTTGGGTTCAGACCTAGATTTTCACATATGCACAGCTTTATGCAATTTCTATTTCTTGATGTGCTTCACACTTAGCAGGAATCCAGTTTTATTTTGGAAGCATCTTAAAATCTAGTTTTGGTCAACATGGTGGGAATGCAAAAAAAAACCCTCTGACAGCAGAATTTTCCCCTGCTTAAGAAATAAGCTTTTACCAAAGATACTGAAATATTATAATTCAAGTCCTTCATCAGATTCTGTATCAATGGAGAGCCTAGATTTTATAATATTTACATTCTAATATTCATCCTTTATCTCTAATCAAACTAGAATTAAACTAGATATAACTGAGAATTTTTCATAATTCCAGTCTTATTGAATCAGATCACACAAGTTCAACAAAGTTCAAACAAAGTCCTAGAGAAAACACTCAGGCTTCCCAATTAAAATTCAATCATCAAACTGCTGGGCTGATTTTTCAGGAGCTATTCTTATTCAGCCGTTCTCTGGCTACTGCTCAATCATCCTGTCACAAATAATCCATCCTCAAGACTCATAACAGGTTTTTATTGGCATTCATTTGGGAGAAGCTGGCACTTCTGATTTGTAGGCCTGTCATATGACTAATGAAGGAATTCTAAATTCATGCCCATAAAGTAATTAGACCACAATATCATATGTTGCGCATACACATAGTAAGTGGTTGGTTAGATGCTATCTGCATCATCAATTTATGGACAAATAATTGAAATACAGACAAGATAACCTTTATTTTATATTGTCTGTATTAGACTATGTGTCTTCATATAAAGTCAGATTCCTAGAAACATTAATTCAATAATGAAAGATAAGTCTAGCCTAAAAGACCTTCTCTATAACCAAAGATTGATTTCCATATACATAATTTACTCTGAAGTTTGTATCTTGCAGTCCTGGTATTTCAAGTGTAAAAAGCAAATACTGTCCACTGAAAACCAGATATGCTTTCTTTATGCGTGAGATTCATCACCAGCACTACACAACAGTGTACTACAGATGGGCTAGGTATAAAGGCATCTAAAAGAGATGGAACCTTAAAAAAAATGATAAGGAGGTCTCTGGAACGTACTGACAATAACTTCCTAACACAAGTCATCAAGGAGCCAGTAAAATCAAGGACATTGTTGGACTTGAATCTTATCAACAAGGAGGAACTTGCTGAGTGAGTTGGGAGTAGCCTTGGCTCCTTGGCTGCAGTGATGGTGTAATACAGCGTCCTGAGAGAAGTAAATGAGGCAAAATAAGGAAGAAACTTTTTCTCCTGAGACTGTGGTTGGACACTGGGACAGGTTGTGCCCACTGAGGTTGTGGAGTTTCCATCCTTAGAGATATCCAAATCCTCACCTGGCACAGCCCTAAGCAACCTACCTCACCTGACCATGTCATCATCCTACCTTTTTAACACACTACCATTTCCTCTTTTACAGGTTGCAACTGAAAAGGAATGGACTGATATTTCTGTAATATCATACAGTGATGACTGGAGAAAACAGAAAAACTACCACAACAAACTGATGAAAAAGATATCAGTATTCTGTAGTTCTTAGAGATAGTACAAGAGTACTGATCATTGTTATAAACTGCCATAATTTTGTGCAACGGTATGATGATGGATACCATCCTACAGACAACCTCCCAGAGCAACAAGTTAAATTTCAAGCCTATGCCTTGACCTAAAATCTTATTATTCTTATTTTAAAAGCATACCAATTTGCTTCCTGAAAAACAAGGACAAACATTAACTAGAAGATTCAAAACTTTATTTTTCTTAATGCTGCTATGACTACTGTATGCATAAAAAACTTTTTTTCTTAAGAAGACGGTTTGCAAAAGAGAGGGTCAAAAAATATCTAGCAGTCAGGATCACTGCTCCTTGTGAGATTTCTATAAAATGCCTGCAGATTAGTTTCCTAACAAATTACGCATGACTTGGTAATTTGTCAGAATTCTAGAGATGTTAAATTCATATTTCATGGTAAACACAATATATTTAAGCCAATCTGTGCCTGAATCTCTACCTTATTTTTCTTTTTTTACTCCTCAATAGTCTCAGAATTTATGAAGAAATGTGATAAATCAGAAAATATAATAGGTTCTTACTTTGATTTCAACTGAATTTCTGTAATTTCCCAGTTTACTACTTGACTGATGCATGAGTAGTTCTAGATATACACTCAGTGTTAGCAGGACCAAAGTAAAATGACAAGGATTTTCTCTAGCTCTTGTTTGGAAAGAAGAGGGAATAAAGGCTATTAACTACAAGCGATGCCAACCCAAGCAATTATTCCTAAAGGCTGATGCTACCACCTTGTGTCTGTAGGTCTAAAAGGTTTAAATTATATGTTGGTTAAATGTGCATATTGCTCAAGTACTTTAGGTATTCAAAATACTTTTACATACTCAAATATATTTTCTGAGAAGATAGTTTATATCTTGTAACATTTTCATAAACTATAGTTTTGAAAGGGAGAAATATGTGAATGCCTAAAAGTGAAAAAAACCCCAAACCTAAACACATCATGTCTGTTCCGTTGACTCTGAGGATCTTATAGAGATTGCAAACTATGAGTAACTCTGCTGCTCTAAGCCAAAATAAATACAGACTTTTGGCAAAAGAGGAAAAGGAAAATTATCAATTACTGAGAATCTACTGTCACATATAAGGTGCTTCTAAATACACACCTGCATAATAAGCAGGTTTGTCTAGTAAATTATTACTGATGTGGTTCCTCAGCTCTCAGAGGAGTATTGTGGGGTTAATCCTGCTTCCATGGGGATGATGAGGACAGTCTTTGTCCTGAGCTTGTTTTAAGTCTTTCTCTTTTCTTCTTGTTACTTTAACACTATCTGAAGTCTATGGAGATAATATATCAAAATTCCTAACAATTTATGAGCATTTATTCATATAATATTATGTAATACAAACAGTAATACTGGTTGTTAAAGTCAGATACTCTATCATAAAATAACATGTTATACATTTAAATTTTAATTTCACAGGTTTGGGATTCACTGATTAAGAGTTTTCTCCCAATCTAAAGAAAAAAAAAAGATACTGATGGGACTGAATTAAATTTGGTTACTGAGTATTGCTGCATATGAAACACAGATAGAAAAAAAACAAAACAAAAAATACCAAGAAAACAAAAAAAGAATAAACCTGAAAGACTAAACCTGATTAAGCAAGCTATATTCACTGAAATACAGGTTTCTTTCAGATACTGGTT